CTTTACACATACTTTATAAAGAAATATAAATGCAATGTATTTACACACAGTTATTCAACATACTGAATCTAGTTGGCACACTAGTCAGCAGTATAAATAGATTTTATACTAGAATTTCTTATATTTAATTGTGCATGGGGGAGGGGTGACCCAGGATAATATTGGGCCTACCATACTTCTTTAACGTGCCCTTTAAGCCTGAAAGGTTCGAGCACCATACTATCACAAATCTCATTAGGATAAGGTCTACAGTATAACAAAACAATTGCTGCAGCACAAATAGAAACCTAAGCAAGTGCACAGAGGAACTAGAAGATCCAAAAACCAGAGTGCAATAGCAGAAGCTTGCTTATCATATACACCCACCAATGCCTAACTGCAAGCCAGGAAGTAAGAGTCATCATACTGCCCTGCCCCCATATTAAGAACAGAAGCAGATGCACTAGCCTTATCCAAAGCAGGGTATCAGGGAAATATTTGCAACACTTTTTTCCTATCAGCTCAATGCTTCAAATGAAGAACTGCTTGTAAACATTAAATCGGACCCTGAGGATTTGTTTACACTAGTATTTCACTTGGTATGAGAAGTACAAAAAGCATATTCCTGTGCTGTCCATCCCCCCCGTACAGAGTAGAAAATGCATTCTGCATGGGGAAATTAAGAGCAGAATCAGACATATATCATAGTTTAAATATCCCTTTCTGCACCTTAGATCAAGAAACATATAATTTTCATATCCAACAAAAACAGTGGAACTTCTTACAACAGGCCTAGAAAAGTGCTCCTGAGAGACTGCCATTGTTGTCACTAGGTACCATACACTTAAATGTACTTGCATGTTCTAAAACTGTACTGATTAGCAAACTTGAAGCAACACTGTTTACATAAAAAAACTAACAGTGGGGGAGGGGGAGTAAAATAGACTCAGAATAATGACCACATTATGAACTTGCTCCTATCATAAACCACAAGCTTACCTGAGCGAGTAACTATGACAAAAAACTTAAAGATGCCAATCCATAGGACAGATATCTCAGGATTATCATGGACCCAGGAAGTAACCCAACAGGAAAGTCGTTTAGGTTCCCCCACAACTCTGATACTTTGCTCAATAGCAAAATAGAACCTAGTTATTTTCTGACACAAAAGTCAGACTCTCCACACAGGCAGTTTTTCCTCTGAAATTGTTCAGCACCTCATAGGCCTGGCCTTGTGCATCTGAAAAGGCCCACAGCCCTCACCAGAACTACTGATGAACAATGTAAATGAACCCAGGCTGAAACCTAACTGGCTGCTTAGATCTTGCCTTTTAAAAAACTATTATAACTCAGAGGAAGCAATTCGTTCCCAGATGGTTTGGATTGGTGTTATCATCTAAGAATGAAGAGTTCTACACCATGACCATGACCATTACCTACTACACATAAGGCATAAATTGTTGCACCATCCATGGTTTTGACACAAACTATTGGTGAACTTACTGGTTTTTTGCTATGTCAGCCATGAGCTTTACATTTATACACATGTTTGACTATGACCAACTTTCAATGAAGCTCTTCACTGCAATCTTTGCCTGGTGACAGCCCATTCTGGAAAGTAAGCCCCCAACCACATAAGGCCTGGGACATCACTCTTTCAACAGAACCCATCTGTTTTAAATCCATCTGTCCTAATTTGCAATTTCTGCATATTTTTAATTTAGGCTACAACACTGTCCCCACTTACCATGGAGTAAGCCCTAACCAACTCAATGAGACTTATTTTGGAGTAAGCATGCATAGGATTAACCTGAATATATTTTCATATTCAGAAACGTCAATCCACACCATACAATGACAAGATAACAATATACTATCCATTTTCATGTATACTCTAGCAATGTTACCCAATTGTTGGGCTCTGCTCAATAGGAAAAGAAACCTTCTCATTCTAACCCTTAAAATCCACAAGTACCAAACTCTGTTTTAACAACGTCACAAGAACCTAAGCCTCAAGTTATATACAAAAGATAAATACACATTTGAACTAAATATACAAGAAAAATGAAAACACATTAGTTATATCATGTGATATTAAAAAGAACACAATACCAAAAGTACTCAGGCCGTTCGTCTTTGCAGATTGCGGCCTAACATTTTAAGCAGCAGAAACTCATCCATTTTTTTAAACATATGTGTCTTATCCTAAAACAGTTTTCAGTAAGATTTCAAATTCTGATAGTCTCTAACATACCAGAAACTATATACGCACAGCAGATTTTTTAAAAATTAAAATAACTACTTAAACATTAAATGCTTTGGAGAACCTGTCTATTTTAACAATGCAACGAAAGCCAATAGAACAGAGGAAAGTGCCATTACATAAAACAAAACAGACATACCCACGTAAAAAAATCATTCACAACGTAGTAAGTTCACCAGTTACACCAAAAGGAAAAAAAAATGTAAGCAAGCATTAAGGTCTAAAGTAGACTATTAAATCCAAATGGGAATGCCAATTTTAAAATAAGGAAATAATTTCATTTATATCCAGTCCAAAACATTAAGATGTAAAAATATAGACTCTAGCTCTGAAAATGCAGTGTCAAATGAATCAGCATTATAGCCTTTCTTGCAGCATAATAATGGTTAAAACTGTCCAGAAAATTAAATGGTCATATCTAGCTGCATGCTCCACAGGTTGATGCCGTTTATCCATGCTGTAAAAGTGCAATATTCTACTTTAGAAAACCGGAAGCAGGAGCTCTCAATACATTAGTGGGATTTGCAGCTCCAAAAAGCCACACTCTTCAACTGATATACATATTCATCCCTACTATTTATTTCCCTGTTTACCTCCTCCCACCCTGTTCTTTCCCCTCCCTATCCGGCCATCTTGGGCAGTCAGGAGCAGCCATTAGTTAACTAAATGACAGGACCAAGAACTTTTTTAAATATAGGAACAAGATTTCTCTTCACACGCTCAGGTGAGCAGCAACAGCCTCTCCCCCATGGCCTGACAAAACAGCATGATGAGGCGAAAAGCCTGGGAGAGAAGACTCACTCAAGGAAGATGCACTTGGGGAGGAAGATGGCTCGAGAGTAAACAAATCACTTGGCGACTGACTCCCCAAAGTGACACACCATGGAAGAAAAGGGATCCCGCTTCTTCTAAAGCCCTTCTTTCGTGCTTATATGCATTAAGTTGGGTCGCTTCGGTCCTGTCCAGCTTTATGAGTAAATATGAGCAAAAGGGCTTTAAAAAGCCAGGAGGGGGGGGGAGGAGGTCCAAGGTGGCCAATGGCAGATAAGGAACGCCCGATCTCCCGATTATTCGCGAGGTTGCTCCCAGCTGGAGGGATTCAGGCCAGATGCGCAGGCACTCTCTGTCCTACTTTTTGGACAAAGCCCAGAAAGTGACCGAGAGCAGCTTTCCACGCCACGCGCCCCTCTCTTCCCCCTCCGCGCACAGGGGAGCAGAGGGAGGCACCTCCGGGCACCACACGCGCGCCAAGAGAGCCATTCTCGTCCGAAAGCCAGGGAAAGAGGTGGTGGCCACGCAGGGCAGGCTCGACCCAAGTCTCCTGGCGAGTCCCACGGGCGCGCTGCTGCGGCGGCGGCGGTTTAATTCCTCCAGCTCTGCTCCCCACACACACACAACCCACACACACACAAGCCCACACAACACACGCGAGGGGAGGGTGGCTCCCTCGTCGGTTGCCTCCTCCCCACCCCCACCGCAGCCCAATCCCCCCTTACCTTTAACAGCAAGGCCTTCGTTCTGGCGCCATCTTCATGAAGCCTCTGAAATCCGAAGAGTCGGCTGCAGAAGGGGGGAGACGGGAGAGAGACAGGCTGAGAAAAACAGCCGCGTCCGCCGAGAGGCTGCCCCCCTCGCCCGCCCCACACGGACGCCTTCATCCGCTCCCTCGCGCTCGCCGCCCGCGCTCCGACCTGACGAGAGCACCACAACCGCCGCCGCTCTTTTTTATATTCCCCTCTCTCTCTCTCCCACACACACACACGCGCGCACACACAAGACACACACACCCCGGCCGAGCGAGAACACCGGACGAGCCGGAGCGCGGAGGCTGCCGTTGGGGGTACCTGTCGAGGCCGGCGAGGACTTCTCTTTCCTCCGCTGTCAGGCTGGCGAAGTCCTCCTCGCTCTGGCCGCTCGCTTTCCCCGCCGCCATTTTCTTTTCCTCATCACCGAAAGAAGCAGTAGAGGCGGCGGCGGCGGCGGCGAGCGACACTCCACACGATTTCATGGAAACGCAGCGCAATTAACTCGCGATCGCAAGGCCCCCCTCCCCGCGCGCCCACCCCAAGGCCCCCCCAGTGCCGGGCGGGGCGGGGTGCCCGACACACACACGCCACCAACACAACTTTTATTACAACAACAACAGCCGGCAGGGAGGGGGAGGGAGAGGGAGAGGCGGGGGGGAGCCCCGCTGCTCGGAGGAGGAGGAGGAGGGAGGGAGGGAGGGAGGGAGGGAAGGAGCCCCAGCGCTGGAGACGCGGGGGGGAGGCAGGAGGGGGAGGAGAATAAGGAGGAGGAGGAGGCGGCTGCTGTTGCTGCTGCTGGCGGCGGTGACGGCGGCGGCGGCGGAGGAGTGTTTACATCGCTGCTGAGCCGCCAGCCCCGGCGGCGAGGAGTGAGTGGAGTCGGAGTGACAGGGGCCCGCGCGCGCCCGCGCGGGGTGTATTTGTTGCCTGTACAAACTTCCCCAGCAGCTGCACAAAGTTGTTGTAATTGTGTCACACAGCGAACCCCACGCCGCCACCGTGACCCCCCCTCCCCACCCCGCTTGCCTGTGCCCACGCAGCCAATCGCCGCGCCCAGCCGCGCCCACGTGACCTTTGTTGACTTACGTCAGTCATAGCGCTCCTCTACCGCTACGCTCGAGCTTGGTAGCCGCGCTGCCTTTCACGTAGCGGCTACGCTGCGGAGTTGGGAAGCTGTACTTCGGGTACCCCGATTGCAGCCGGAGCGCGGAATGTGGCCGGGGCGGGGCGGGTGGCGTTAGAAACTTCCTCTACTTTTCTAAAAAGTAGAAAAGGAGCCAAACCTTCCTCACACCCTGTCGGCACAGCATCCACATTTTCGGGACAGATATTCAACGGATAGAGACAGCAGAGGTTTCTGCGGAAGCATTTCTTCATGTCATTCAGAGTCTGGCAGGGCTTTGAAAGCCTTATGACCTCCCGCGCGGAAGAAGGGCAGGGATTGAGAAGCCAAGTTACTCAGGATTTAAAAACGTTGGCATTTACTGTGTTGTTGTTTCTAGGTAGTTCTGCAGGCAGAAATTCAACGCATGTGGCCTTTCCCTGTTCATAGAGATGTAAAAAGCTGCACTGTTGAATTTTTACCTGCTTTGCCGACTTTCAAAGAGCAAATTGGTTCTCGGACGGACGAACAACACAGGATATGAAAAACGAGAGTATATTTCTAATCATGAGATTCGTAGATTCATTATTCCGTATCAACCCGTTTCAGTTTTGCCAGGGCACGAGGTCAAACGTGTACTTTTGTGTGTTAAAGGACCTATACACCAGCCCTCTTCATTTATGTGGCCAAATACACACTTTCCTTTTCTGTTCAGTTTTTTAAGCTGCCCACTTATTTATTTACCGAAATTTATATACTGTACTGCTTTATAGATGCGTTACATAACTGGTTACAAGCTCGTTCCCGTCGGCCTAACGAATCATACCGTTTGCTTAAGAAGTGAGATGTGCTTTAAATTCTCCCAGTTGTGTAGCACGACTTGGGAGCAAGACGGGGGAGCACTGAATTTCCAAAACTTTATTATATACCGTAATTAAAAAACAACAACAATTCAACACTGAATGAGGGCGCAGGCCCATCCAACGAGCAGAAACCATTGTGGGAGAACTGTCACGATAACTTTAAAACCTGCAACGAAATGGGGCCGTGTAACCCGGTTCTATTTTATCTGAGGTTGGTTTCCGCGCAGTCCCTGCGTCTAGGACTCTTTCCCCGCTAGTGGAGGAGTCTTGCAGAACGTCAATCGAAAACCGGAAGCTTAAGTCGCTTTCCCCCCTATCCCTTCGGCTTCCGCCCTCATCACTGGCCGTACGCCATTGGTTGAGAGGGCGGGATTTATGTACACTATGGGCTGTTATTCAACCGTCAGTGAGTCAATCAAGCGACTTTGTCAGTTACCGAAGTAGCAGCAAGTTTGTATGCGGCCTTTAAATTAGGTGCGGGGAGGCCCCAGCGGCGGCGGCGGCGGCGGCGGCCAGCAGTTGCTCGAGGGGGAATAGGTTTGGGATTGCGTGCGCATAAATGGCTGCTGAGCTTAAACAGGCGGCTGGTCTGGAGACGCTGCTAGGGAGCCTGTGCGCGTGAAAACATGCGTGGCCGTTACTGCCCCCGTCGCCGTCCGCCTCCTGCGCAGAAGGGTGCGGGGAGGGGGCGCTCTTCTCGGCCAACGGCTGCGACCCCCGCCCTGCTTTCCTCCCGCCTTCCCTTGGGCCGGGTCTGGGGCGTGGTTCTTCTGGCACCAACGAATAATAATGGCTTCCCTTGCGCGGTGCGTGTGCGCGCGAGGAGAGAGAGAGGGGGGAGTGGGCCGGGGCTTGGAGCCGAGCCCGCCGGGACGCCTCTGAGGGGGCGGTTCGCGAAGCGGCGGCGGGGCGTCCCCTGCTAAGCCTGCGCGCGGCCGCCTTGGGCGCAGTGGCTCCGCTTCCTCGGCGGCGACAGCGGCTCTTCCCCCGAGTCCCTCTCAGCGAGGGCGAACCGTTAAATTGCCGCCTCGGAGGAGCGACCCGCCGTAATTGGCCGCGGGAGGGGCGAGGGGACGACTTCCAGAAAGCCAGCCCGGGCTCGCGGCTCCGTGGGCAGGCGCCTTCCCCTTTCCTAGGAAGTGGGGTCAGGGAGCAGCAAGCCCCGCATTAGGCCTCCGCACTCCCCCCCCCCCCTCACAAAAAAAGCGACTCCCAAGTTAATGTGTTTCTTCAGCCCGAAGCAGAAAGCAGCCTTTCCGTGTGCGTGGAAGCCTCTGGCTCCAGGGAGAACGTGTGACAGAGACCGCTTCGGGAGGGCTTCCTCCATTTTCCTTGCTGATTACCTTTCCTGAGAATAGACACGTGTTAGGGTGGAGAGCGGCGAGCCTGGGCTGTGAAAAACAGGGCAGCGCAAATACAGTATAAACGTTTCCTGGCGCTTACGGGAGAAAAACAACAAACGCCATACTCTCTCACACACACATACCCTAACTAACGCACTTTCACGAGTCTTCAGCTCCCCTCAGTACACCCGGAAGGAAGAAAATGCAAAATGCAAAGTTGAAATGTTTTGCTTTGCTTCCCCCAAGGACCGCTCTGGGAGACTTCTCGTATTAATAATTCTGTATTTATCTAAACTCGTCTGTCGAAAGAGTGTATGTCAGTAGTTTTACATAATGGAAACATAGGCGTTTTCAAAATTGCCCAATTTCCTAAAATATCAAACACAGTCTAATACTGTATACCCTTACCTGAAAGTCAGCCCTGTCTTTCTTCTGAGCAACCTAACTAGAATTTCCCTATTACACTATAATAGCTGTGTGCTACATTCTTGTCGGATGAAAATTGTCCTTGTGAGAGTGAGCTGGGAAATAATAACTTTGTCTCCAAGTACTTTTAGATACAGTTACTAGTGTAATGCCTTGTTTTTGTGATGTTCAGGTAAGAAAGAATTTCATCCAATGAATTTTTATGAGCTGCTGTAGAGTTCTTGAAATTGACTTAAATGTAGACCAAAGGCAAATAGTCTTTACCCTAGTTCTTTATTTTCCAGCTGCACATAGTACTGCCACACCTCATAATAGTATTGTGAAGACTTGCATGTTGAAGAAGTATTATGTTTCCATACTGTATAGTTTCATTTGTGAAATCCTTTGAAAATACTTGGTCATTTTTTCTTCTCATATTTGCATATTGTATTTTTCCTCGGTTTTAATTGCTTTGGTGAAAATGGGAGTGGTGCTTCTCCTGAAAATTGAATTGACTCTGTATTTCTGCTGAGCCATACCACCGCCATTGTGTTATGCTGTACCACATTAATTTATAAAGCCTGTCATTAATTTTGGAATGTAAGGACTTCATTCACCAATGTTCTGGAAATGTGAAGTTTGGAAGAGCTGTAGGCACCACCTTGTCTGCTTGTTTCTCTTCTCCCTTGGTTCACTGTCCCCCCCCCCCAACACACAGAGCACATGCACACACACAGCTTTACCAAGGGTCTGGGTAAAAACTGCATCCAGTAAAACTGAAATGGATCTTCTTGAATTTGCATAATTTTACATGGCACTCTGCCATCATATTGTTTTAGGATTGTGGTGTTGATCCAGATATCATCCTTGGACAGTGGTTTTATATATGAAACTATAGCAGAAGGAACCGTTGACATGGTGAAACCAGTCTCTGTTAAGGGCTGGCCCTAACAGAAACTATTAAGTGTATCTGTGCATGACTATGGAGTTTGCAAAGTACAGGTGCCATGGACATGATAAGCTAGTGTGGCATAGTGGTTAGAGTGTCGCACTAGGACAGGCTTCCTCAAACTTGGCCTTCCAGATGTTTGGAGACTACAATTCCCATCATCCCTGAACACTGGTTCTGCTAGCTAGGGATCATGGGAGTTGTAGCCCAAAAACATCTGGAGGTCCGAGTTTGATGAAGCCTGGACTAGGACCTCAGAGACCAGTGTTAAAATCCCCACGTGGCTAGTTACTGGGTGACCTTCAGCCAGTCATTGTCTAACATACCTCACAGGATTGTTTTGGAGATTAAATGGGGGGGGGAACCATGTACACCAAATTGAAATCATTGGAGAAGAAGTGGCATATGAATGCAATAAATAATAAATTAACTAGTGATGCTTCTAGAAGGGGGCATTCTTCCCCATGTCTTCAGTGACAGAGCTGCATGCTCTGGCACCGGGGACTGAGAACAGGTGGGGGCGTAGCTGGTCACATCCCAGGGGGCATGGTGCGTTTCCCGGGGGTGTGGCATGGCGCCTGCAGGGGCGTGGTGCGCCGCACACAGGGGCATGGCGCCCACCACGGGGGTGCGCAGCACGCACCCCAGCAGTGCGCAGCACAAGTCAGGGAGGCGGCTGTGATGGCACCCCACCCCGGATAGTATCCAGAGTGGACCACTCCCCTGCCCCCCTTCCTCTGCCATTGCATATCTGGAGATGTTGACTGGTGGGTGTAAGAGAACAACAGAACAGGATTCAGTCCAGTCTCTATGGAGCTGGGGAACACAAACTTGACTTGCTCTCTGTGCTGAATCCAGGACTATAGGAAGGGTGCTAGAACGTTCGGAGTCTCACTGCTCAGATTGGGGTGCCCACAACAATATTAAAGCTTACATTGGTATATTGCACGGGGCGGGGGACAAATCTATTGGAAAGCAACGAAACCACCAACAAATCACAGGACCCATCTTTCCTGTCTCCTCCACCACTCTCTTTTCCTCCCCTCAGTCTCCCAGATTATTATTTTTTCTCTCCTACCCTCTCTTAGCAGTCCATTGCTGTGCAGCTAATGTGACCTTGAAAAGCAGAGCTGAAAGAGGACATGGAAAAATGCACCCACTCTTCTCTTGGTCTTTTTGCCCTATGTACTTTTCAAAGGGGAAAATTGTAATCACCCTCACCATCTTATGTCAAAGGAGGCAGTGGGGTGGGGGGCTCAGAATCTTTGTAGATGCCAAAGGATGTTCTGGTCAAATTAATGGATAATTAAAGGGCTTTTGTAGCATGAAGTACTTTCCATGAACTTTGGCCTATCAGCTGCACCGCTTCTTGGAAAGAGATGACCTTGCCACAGTTACTAATACTCTGACTGCATCTAGGTTGAATTTACATATGGGGCTTCCCTTAAACTTCCCTGTAAACTTCAGCTGTTTCAGAACACAGCAGGTTGTTAACCTGATTATACTGAGAGATTTGCATTGGCTGCCACTTTGTGTCTGGCTGCTTGATTGAAGCTATACGCTCAAAAACTCTTGGGATGCGGTATCTGAAGAACCACTTGCTCCCATAACATTCTTCTTCTCCTCAGAAACCCTCCTCCAACTGACCTTCGGAGGCAAGGCAACTGGGGAGATGGCCTTTGAAACTGTGTGCCTCTCTTACTCAGGGATGGTTTCCAGACATTTAGATGCTTCGCAAATATTGGTTCCTGACACCCATCTGTAATATAGGATGTATAGTGTGTGTGTGGCTTCCAATATATGTACTGAAAGATCACCTTTGACACCAGGGAAGTGCTTTCACTTAAAGCAATTTAGACGTTGACATGTAATATTTTAATTCTAATTATATTTAAGTGTTTTGAATTGTGTTAACTGATTCTTGTTATTATATATTTATATCCTGTATTTTCCCCTGTCAGGGAGTCAAGGTGGTTTACAGATAAAATATGAACCGCTAAAAATGGGGAGGGGGGTAATTAAAACACTTTTTTCATTGAAAATTTTAATATTGTCAAATTTGGAGGTTTTACTACAATTAAGTGGTAAAAATATTTTGCTAAATAAATAAATTGAAAATACAATTTTGAGGTATGTTCACTATCTGACCAACTGGTATATACTTTCAAAATCAGTTTCATCACATGGAAAGCCATAAATGAAGGCTGGGGGTTTTGACGAACATATTATTGCAGGTGATGGGCTCTAAATAAGTACAGTTTCACTGTCATATATAATTTCCAGTTGGTGAAATAGGAGAGAACTGATTTCACTAAGTCTTCATAAATGAAAGTACTGTATATTCACAATTGATGGATGGGCATCCAGTATACAGTCATCAATAAACTTTCCGTAGTAAACACAGTACTAAAGGAAAGCAGAAACCATCCCTTTATATTTGTCATCCCTGGCCAATCAGCAACTTAATAGATGCTAGAATTTTTGAATAGCATGTTGGACTAGTAGACCTTGGTCTGATTCAGGAAAGCACAACTTCCAGTTACCTTCACCTCCATTTATTTGTTTTGTTAGTTACTCAACACAGGACAGTCTCTAAGTGATGTACAGACAACTTTTAAAATATACAGAATTGTTAATAACTGTAAAGATGTAAACATTCTAATCAATACATAAAACACCAGCTTCCCAAGAAGTGGGGCAGCAGCCAAGACCAGTGCTCTTATAAAACTCTTTAGGAAGGAGGTCATTTAATACAGGAAAGCTATGCCTCATTAAGAGATGCTGTACTGTACAGCATACCTTCTAGTTTGTCAATTTGTATAAGTGGAATTAGACAAGACTGAAGTTATCACACACCTGAGATATGTCTTTAAGGCTCACCCATGCATAAGTTCTGTTGCACTCAGTGGGGAATGCTTTTGAGTAAACATGTATAGGATTGTACTGTAAATCTTGTGTATTATTTTGACAATTTCTTAATGGAAGAAATGTTATAAATATATGTTAAATAGTTGCCAATGCAGCCTTATGCATGTTTACTTGCACGTATCCTGTTTTTTACATATAGAAATTAAATGCTTCATATTTTCTGCTTTAAGCCACCTTGTGAGCCCAATTTAGATTTAAAGACAGGTCAAATTTTTAAAAATAAATAAGTTTTTTGTTTTCTATCATTGTTTACAAATCTAGGATATTAAGATAAAACCCTGCTAATTTTTAATTCCTTTAAAATGACCCCAAAGCTGACAAAAATTAAATAAATTTCAGAAGAAAATCTACCTAAGGGATTGTTCCAACAATTGTGGATTAGCCACTAATAATGTTTCACTGGGTGCCTTTCTTATACATAGGCTACACAAATGGCTAAGCTAAAGGGTGCTCATTGTTATTTTAAGTCATGATAGGGAAGGAGGTAGTCACTTTAATGTACAAGGGGTTATAGGTTAATCTCAATAGCTTGTATTATTCCAGGACAGTTGGAGATCTGCAAATACAAATACTTAACATAAGCTCAGAAGGAACACTTTCTTGGTGATTCATTCTGACCAACAGGTATGTCACTCGATTCTGCACAATTTACAAAGCAATTTTCAAGGACGGCCTACTTTACTATAATTTCTGCCATAAATTTCTTAGAACAACTTGGTTTCCTCATATTTAATATGGTGATCAAAATTCATATTGGGGTAGGTATTGGGAACATATGTGTCAAAATCTGATAAGGGAAATAATTATCTTTGTAGCATACAAAAGTCATTAAGTAATGCACGGGGTTTCCCACAAAATGTGCACTAAAGATAGAACTACACATTCTGCTATTTTATCCCCCTTCTGCCTCTCCACAGCACAACATCCGGAGAGTGCAAACTGCAGGATAAAAATCACCAGTAAAAGGCGCGTGATTGACCCTCACCACACCACCTTCCCCTCTGCAGCTCTGCTACCACTAGCTAGGATTTCTATAATAAGTTAACCATACTGCACAAGTTTTTCTCCAGCTGCACTTAACAACCTGAATGAAGAGTTTAAACAAGAGACTTGAAGATATCACTACCTGCAGTAGTTAACAGTAATAACCAGCATATTTCAAGACTTCCTGTATTTTTCCTTTATCCTGCAAATGTACAATACTAATTTGATCATCTCTTTAGTTTTCCAGATCTTACCTCACCATTCCCTAGTTGTGAGTCAATTGTTCACCATTTCAAAGTCGCTAAGATTTTGCTCTTTTGAAAAGATTCCAGAATCAGATTTTGTGCCCAATACTAAATGAGTTACCATTTACCCACAAAACATTGATGTTTAAATGAAATGTAATTTATCATCTGAATAGCATAAATGTTTGTCACTCAAATCTCTCTTTAGGCATATTCACCATGCATAATCTCAGGTTATTACAATGCCAACAATCATCCTGGCCATCTTTATTTCACTGTAAAATAGTAAAATTCCATTACCTGACCAGAGTTTCTTGAGACTAATAATAGGAAATGCTGCTGGGCATAGTAAAAAACAAAGAAACGCAAAACCACTTCTGTTCATTCTCTGTTGTTACCTTCCCAGTGACTTTTCCCAGATAATTTCCTAACTTGGTTTTTAGATCTATTAAGAGACAGTATGTTTTTGTCACATTCATATTGACTAATTCATATTAGTTTATTAAAAATGTTCTCACACTAATCTTAAAAGTTTCATTTCTTTTGTTCATCCTGGATGGAAAATATTGGAACCACAGATTATCATTGTTACCTATCCTAATTTTATTCCTGCTGACTTCTAGAATGTTTAAAATTTCCTCCCAGGATTTTGTTATCTGAATTATTTCTGCTATTGTGAAAAAATGCCATCTTACTTGTTTGTAATCCTATGTACATTTAACTAGTGAGAAACAGTCTTGTTACTTATGAGTAAACAAGATTACTCCGCTCTCCAGTGCCTTGATGTGAAATGACAATGAAAGGTTGACATCACTAAAATCTTTATATGATCAGACACAGACTGAATTTCTATTTCTGTATTATCTTTTGTCATTTAAAGTCATCAGAATCTTGTCTGTTGTTAAATAATTTTGATGTGGTGCAGAATAAAACATAAAATGGTTTGAATATCTTAAAGGAGCAATAATTAATTGTAAAACCATTATTAATTACAAACTATCCACTCCTCTTTGAAAATGCCAAGATGAAAAGCTACTGTCTTTTCCTTCATCGATCTGCTGAAAAATAGCATTCACCACGTTGTTCTCACGTTGTTAATTCATCATCTAAAATTATTATTTTATTTATATATTGCAAACTCGCATAAAAATGTATCTGTGTGATGAGTGGTGCCTCAGTTTAAAAACCATATCATGAGCAATATATTCAACCTATTACAAAATTGATTGCACATTATTGAGTAAAGCAAAGCCATGTACACAGGCAAAGTTACCCTAAATGTGTGTAAGGTGAGTTGCAAAGCAAATAGCACCCACCCTTCTTCTATTTAAATCACCACCACTCCCAGTGTGCTTTACAGAGGAGAGATGGCAAGAAGGATTCTCTTAACGTGCTACTCTCAGAATGCATAGTTGTGTCCTGAGCTGAATTCACGAAGCTTTATGCTGTCAGAACGTTGATCCAGCCAGCCAGTGATGCCTATTCTGACTGGCAGCAGCTCTCCAGGGAAAGGTTCTTTCCTTTTATCATACCACATGAGAACCTTTAAACAGGAGGTGCCAGTGGCTAACCTCACTGTCACAAGCAGTACACCTCTGCAGAGCAGTTGTTGGGAATCACAATTGGGGAGGGTGCTATTGCACTCAGGTCCATCTTGCAAGGCTTCCAATAGCCATCTGGTTTACATTGGGAGAACGGGATGTTGATCTAGAGGGGCCTTCAGTTTGATCCAGTAGAGTTCGTGTCACGTTCTTACAACATGCATGCAAAACATGTGCTTTACCACTGAGATCTACTATATCCTTACACAAAGGTTCATTCTACTATTATTTAGAATTGGGAAAATCTGGAAAGGAACAAATAGTTACTGCATACTGAAGTTTTATATTTGGCTTTCTATATTTATGGCATGCTGATATGCGTGTCAGATTTCAAAATAATCAGATAAGTTCGAACCCTTTCCCCTCTAGCCAGGAAACAGCAGAAAAACATCAGAACAGTTGTTTTTGCATGATTTATAGTATTTTGTGCTGTCGGTTGCATCAGAAACAGAAGATTGTGCTATATTTGTCCTCTGCCTTTGCTCCAGCCAAAATTAGGAAGCATCTCAGCATGGATTTGCTAATCTTTAGCGCCATGGCCATTGTTTAAAACTGATTTCCATTATATATTTTTTATCAAATTGATTTGTGGTTCAAAATGTAGTTCTGTCATGGAAATCCATTAAAAAAATGGCCACTGCATTTTTCTCCTCAGTTAAATCCTTCCCTGTGTTCTGTGCTTTAACACTATTCAGACTAGAAATTAGGAGGAAACAGTTATTCACCACACTGCTAAAAACTTTATAGCACACTATTAATAACAAAATATTCTTCCAAAGCCCCCTTTGTGGTTATTCCCCCCAACCCCTGCTCAGATCTTATAGTTTTACTGTATGTAGATTGTAAACTACACTTTGTTATCTGCTTCCTATGCTAAAGGACCAGACTTACCCCAATCTAATGAGTTGTATTTGATTATCATAGTTTATATTTATAAGATAATCATTCAAATGCAAAGAAATGTTTTCAGATTTTGAACAAGTAGCTGAAAGCATTAAAACATCTCTGCATCAATTGACCAGAACCTACATGGAAACTTTGCTGCAAGAGTGTATTCCTCCATACTTTTCTCTCTTTTTAATAAAAAATTTTTTTATTGGATTTACAAGATTTTATACATTTTAACTTTAACCATTTCAAACATTGAAATAAAAGGTTCTATTGGACCTTCGGACTTCCTTCCCTGCCTTCATGGGTTCCATATTCAAAGTAAGGTTTTCTGCATCTTTTTCCTTTATCCATCTGTTAAATATCTATAGTTACCATACCTACCGGTAATTCCACATTAGAAGTGTCATTACATCCCTGCCAATGATTTTAACTCTTTACAGTGGTCTTTTATATAAATTAAGAATTTACCCCAGTCTTTTAAAAATACTTGATCTTCCTGGTTTCTGATCTTCTCCGTCAGTTTTGCGATCTCTGCATACTGTATCAGTTTAGTCTGCCATTATTCTCTTGTTGGTACTTCTTCCTTCCTTTCATCTCTGGGCTAGTAGCATTCTCACTGCCATATATGCCATCGTTGCATATATAAAAAGTATTTTATCCTCTTTTGGTATCTCTTCACCTTCCTCCATACTTTTCAATGAGTCAGGAAATGCAGAGCTTTCCCAATATTCAAGAAAATGAGACAGCCCCTGCTCACCTGTGTGCATAAAAGGCCTTGGTGGGCACATTAAATTAAGATGGGTAGATTATAGTAAAACAGGATAAGCAGCACTGAATCAGTGATGGACTTTCATCCCACTAGTTTCATTAGGCCTGGCAGAGATCCTAATTTGGCCTACAAAGCTGTTTTTCCCAAGTCACAACCACCTGACCTCATATAAATTTAAATTTCTTAAATGCCTGTTTCTTTTTTTAAAAAACTCAAGGCATCTTAAAACAGACTATTGAGGTTGTATCTTTTGTCACCACTCTCTGAACCTGCAGAGTATACCTTGAGGGTGTTTACCACCTTAGATGTTGGTTATTTGTTACTGGGCAAATTCTGCTTGCTTGACTGGAGGCTGAAAAAAGCTGTTCCGCAGTTTGGGGTGTAGCTTTCAAATCAAGCCTGGGTTTTTGTTGCTGGCAGGCAAAAAGTCTTGGCATTCCAAAAAAATAAGGAAGTGGAGAGCACAAAATATATAAAGGCTGATTACATGTTTAATATTATGTACTTTTTCTGTTACGGATATTGGTTCAAATAAATCTTAGGTTATATATTAATCCTCTTTCACTAACAGCATGAACTTGAATAAATAACTTTTGGATAAAAAGTATTACCTAGCCGTGTAAACATTTTGAGTTGAATAAAATCTTGCTTTGCTGCTTCCCACCTCAAATCCTTCTGCCTAACTCTGGACTGCATAACGCTTTTGTTAAAGGTCACTGCACCAGAAACTATAGATGGTGGCTGTTGCTGCAACAGCAATACAAGTTACAGTGTTAGCATATTACACATTTAGACATCTCATTAGCATAACAACTATTGTACTCAATTACTCATATAGCAGATCATAGGATCAGTCCACTAATTCAGAAAAAAGCGCTGTCTAAAATTAAATTATTGCTTTCAAATAATACATATATTCATGAGTCCATGAGTTCAATCACTTTTTAAATAAATGACATGAAAATGCTTCATAGTGAAAATGCTACATAATTGTTTATTGTCAAGATGCTCTGTTGTATCCAACATTGAGTAGATCCATTGGCAATAGTACACATGACTAGCTTAGGTTCATTAATTTCAGTGAGTCTACTATGAGTAGAACTAAATTGGATATAACCAGTGCTCCCCCCCCCCTAAAAATGTTTAGGGATACTCTCATTTTGACTCAAGAAAATCACAAATTTATAGTTCAATTCGGGGAAAATAAATACAGTAAATGGACAAAGGTACAAAGATTCACAAAATATTTAGGGGTATGTGTACCCCTGTGTACCCCCAGAAAAAAGCACTGGATATAACCCATGGCTCATGACTACATCATTTGTCTAATTTTCGCTATTTTCGTTTTTGTCTTCCCCTCATCCACTTTCTGTAGCGTCTTGCCTGATAAAGAATTCTAGAGAATGCAAATGCTTTTGTGACATTTTGGATGGAAGCTATTGCCCAACTATGACTGATCAGCTATTCTTCTCCTATTTTCTCAGAATAAGCAAGTTTGTTCCAGGTTCCAAATCCAGATTGCCAGTTCAGGCATCTCCATGTACACATTAAAGAGAAATGTTTTGACATATAGGCTGTCATCATCTGTGAATAACAGTTATGGCACTCAGAGGAACGAACACCTCTCTATTAACTTCTCCTAAAAGCACTGTACTTAGTCCTACAAAAGAGTATTTCTGGAATAGCAGACTCCACTAAGCATCACCTGCTACAACTTGAGGGTACAAATGGCAGTTGCTCATAATTGTACAAAATCATACACAAAACTATGAGAAAGCAAAGTGCACACATTTGATGATGGGGCTTGATTATGCCCCATCCCATCCATTTCCCTAAAATACTACCCTTTTAGGAAACAACTCTTCCTAGGAAGTCATTGTGTGGGAACCTCTGGTGGTTGGGGGACAGGTTTTAATGAGTCCTGCCATGCATTGAAAGAGCTTGTGAGCAGGCTTCCATTCACCATTCACCGCCACACGGTCACTCACAAGTTGGCAATCCTTGAGGAGAGACTGATGGCACTACAGTGGTACCTCGGGTTACATACGCTTCAGGTTACATATGCTTCAGGTTACAGACGCTTCAGGTTACAGACTCCACTAACCCAGAAATAGTACCTTGGGTTAAGAACTTTGCTTCAGGATGAGAACAGAAACCGTGCTCCGGCGGCGCGGCAACAGCAGGAGGTCCCATTAGCTAAAGTGGTGCTTCAGGTTAAGAACAATTTCAGGTTAAGAACAGACCTCCGGAACAAATTAAGTACTTAACCTGAGGTACTTATTGTTGTTAGCCGCCCTGAGCCCGGCTTCGGCTGGGGAGGGCGGGATATAAATAAATTTTTTTTTTATTATTATTATTATTATTATTATTATTATTATTATTATTATTACCACAGTACTCAGGATCCCACTTCATCTGTAGTAGCTCTACACATGTACATCAATATGCACATAGGGTCCTTTGTGGTTACTCAACACATGCCTGACAGGGATGCTTGTTTTCAGTGCATCCGCTGGTTCATGATTTGACCTCACCAAAGGAAAGGGCTCCTTAAAAATTTCAGACAATTTTGCCAGCTGCTTTTCATCACTATGCTCATCATTCCCAATGTAGAGTCTCTGCATGTTTCTGCACATCCATGGCTCCAATGAGAATCAACTTCCTAGAAGATGTTGTTGTCCCATTCAGCCACCCAG